GGAGAGTTCAGGGAGCTAGGCAGCCCAGAATGAAGGCAGAGTGGGCTGCCTGATTGGAGGGATCCATTTGGGGTCTGGACTGAAGGATTATGGGCCCCAGTGTGAGGCCGGTGATGTTAAGACCTGTGGATGCCATCTGCAAGGCTTGGGCTGCGGTGTAGGGGAGGAACGGAGTCACAGATAGCACCCCCTGCCATTGAGGCAAGAATGGGCAGCCTCCTGCCTAATTAACAACATAATTATATATCATCAAGGCATGGCAGGAGAGGAGGCAGGCAGTTGCCCATAGAAACAGGTGATTGGGTTGGGATGAGATTGGGCCCTGAGCGTGCCCCTTGTTATGGCATCTAAGTCCACCTTGTGTATCTAGCCCTTAGTTTTGCTAGATGTAATGTATCTTTGTGGATTACAGATGGATCTCCAGATGGATTACAACACTAAAATATAAGGTTAATTCAGGGACATAGCTTAGAAGTTTCCCAGAAGTTCTTGTGAAGCTATATGAGATTTTGCCTTAAATAAATTGTTATTGCAAGCAGCTGTAAATGTCAGTGAAAATATTTGAGAGCCTTAACAAGAGTCACTACCCGTAATTACATTGAACTGCCAGTAATCTTCTTTGAAATAACTTTTTTTTTCTTCAAGTCTGCGAACAGTTATTTAAAAAATGAAGCTGTGTTTTTGTTTGCTTTTCCCTTTTCCTAAACATAAGGGTTTAGATAGTCTCTTATACAAGTCTTATTTGCCTCTGACCTATGGGGATTGTGCTGTATGAAATTATCATACTAAACAGGTTGACACACTGGGCACCTCCCCATACACATGGCAGTTGTCTGCTCCAACACATTATAATAAACATGTATCAGAGCAGACTCAATTAACTAATTAGCACAATCCAGCAGCCTCTGTATCATGTGTATTCAGTGTCGCTGCACTTCAAAATGGTGGCAGGGGTGCTTTAAAGCACCCCCACTGCCATTTTGAAGTGTGGGATGCTGAATACAAAAGTCACAGTGGGTGCTTTCATTAGAACGGCTCTCAGAGCCACATTAATTAAAGAGCCCTCCCCACCACCCCAGGGCACATGTAAAGACACCCAATGGTCTCTAGTCTAAATCAGGGAAGTAAAGGGTTGGGCTGTACTTTCAGCCTTACCATTGATTCATTGTGAGGCCTTGGGCAAGCCAGTTAACCTCTCTGTCCCTTGTTTTATACATTAGTACGAAGGGGATGAGACCCACCTGCCCCCAGAGAAGTACACTGAGGCATGTTTTTGTAATGATTGTTACCTGCTTTGAGACAGCATTAGCATGCTGACACAAGGGATGTAGAATCGCCTACTGAACAAGGTACTGGGTTGGAGAGTATAGATGGATGAAAAACAGGGTTTCCATTTCACAGACAATTTCATTTTTTTTACAGTAGCTTTAGTGAAAATTGAACAGAGCTTTTTTTTTAAAACAAATTTCCTGTGAACTGGACCTCATTGCTCATCATGGCATTGAGGTTCCTGTTGGTCTTGATGCTAACAGTATATTGGTTTCACAAAGAAGCAGAAGTGTGCCCTGCAGGGTTCCTGACTCCTAGGCAGACTCAGAAAGCATCAGTATCTTGAGTTAAACTCATCACAAATTCATTGAACCTAAGATACAACATCTGAGGGGAAAAGAACTGGCAAATTCCAATAAAACTGTATTTTAAAGGAAAAGGTTGACCTGCTTTACTCTGGAACCTACTGACCTTGGGCAAGTGACTTCACCTCTGCATCCCATTCCATGCCTGCCTATCTTGTCTTTTTACAGTATAAGCTGTTCAGGAGAGGCACAAGGTAGGGCAGGATGTACCTTACAGACTAACTGGTTCAGAGAGGCATGAGTTTACATAAATGACAATCTATTTAATCCAATAACATCATCTGATGAAGTAGATAGTTGTGTATGAAAGCTCCTGCCATTCTGAACAGCTAGTCTTTAAGGGTGCCTATAGACATGCAGGGATGCTGCTCTGATGTGCTGTAATTACAATGTGTTGGAGCAAACTCTTGTTGAAGCTCATTCAATGAGCTTCAGTTAAAGTGCCCCTGGCACCATTTTGAAGCACCGGACACTGAATGTAAGAGATGTCAGTGGCGCTTGGGGCCATTGTAATTAAAGAGCCCCCCCACCACCACCACACACACACCTCCCAGAGCATATAAAAGTTGCCCTAAGGTTATACTCTGCCCAACCTCCTGCTAACTTTCTTCAGCAGAGAGGATCTCCTCTGTGGTAACAACTGACAGCAGACAGGAACATTCATCCCAAATGAAACATTTTTTCCTTTCACTCTAGTAATACGTTTGGTAGTCTCCATTTTCCTTTACATTCACACCACCTGCCAGACCTAGACACTTGTCATCCCACCCTTGGGTCTGAAATGTTTCACAGATGCCAGGAAAATTGTATGACTCTCAGCTCTAAGAGCTGACCAGCTCATAGGAATAAATTCTCTGTCTTTAGCAAGTTTACAGGCCTAAATTTAGAACAATACGCTATACAACGATAATCACCTTCATACTGGTATAATGATGTTCTCATTAGGAGGTTGTACAGTTTAAAAACTGTAATGAAGCCAGCTCTCAGTCTCTTTGTATCAAAGACTTTGCTGTCAAGATCTCCTGCAATGAGATATTTCTTCATCAGGGAATAGGATCAAACTGACTTCCCCAGCATCAAACTTCCTTGCTTGAGCTTCTTTGTGTAATTCTGAGGCTTTTGACCTTTGTGAATATTGGGTGTTTTTCCAGTTTCAGGCATCCTTGATGCTACAGTCATTCAAGGCCCCCAGCATCAGCTGGGTAAGCTTTGTTTTGCCTTGGGCTGAAATTGAGGAACATATCCAGTGCAGTCATTCAAATTAACAGAAAATATGATTATGCATGTTTTCACAATCTTAACTCCTGTCTTCCTTGAGACTCCTTAATAGAGATGACATTGTACATATGTATGATACACTTTAGCCAAAACTAATCTGATGCAGAGAGATCAGTGTTTGGGGCCATTTACACATCTGTACATAGCAATTTAGTAACAGTTGAAGGGAAATGGTTCCTTCTTCAGGCTGGCACATTATAATTATGGCTGGATTTTCGGAATGCATCATTCACAGTCCTAAAATAGAAACCAGTCCCAAGGTGCTAGTGCACTTGGGTGTGGGAGTAGGGGAACGGGGCTGCCAGACATGGAGGATGAACACTGAGAAACTTTATTTTGCAGGTGGGAGAGCTTGTGAACCTGCAAAACAGGTCCCAAGGGACTCAGGCAAATGATAAGCTACTAGACAGTATTCAAGCCCTTCTGACCTTAAGATACATCATGCCAATATAGCTACATTCATTTAATTTAAATAATTACAATTAAATGGACGCAGGCACTTCACCAGCATTACTTAGTATGTTATCCCAGAAGAGAATTTATGCCAACCCACCTTACTAGTAAATGAAGATGTACTTTTGTAAATGCCATTTTTCATGTGCTGGCACAATGAATCTACATTACAGCTATACCACTGAAAATGTCTTCACAATAGAGAGGGTTTCAGGCTTTTACCACAGTGTAACTAACCCATGCAGTCCCCAGTGCATCATTTCTGAATTGGGCCCTCTAAGAACCAGATGCACTACCACAGTATTCAGATTTTATGCCAGTGTGGCTCTGTTGATGTCAGTGGCAATATGCTGATAGGAAGCTGCAGGAACACAAGGATGAATCAGGGCCTAAACATCCAAGTTGCTCCCTTCACACAGGTAGAGGCCAGAGGAAGCCACTTGTGACAAGGGAAGCAAATAATAAGAGAGTGTATGAGTGCATGAGTTCAAGTCAGACACCTTCTGCTTTAATTACCCATTCTTCCATCTTCTTGCCGTGCAAATTACTCCCTCGCATTCACATACTATTTCTTTGGGGGTAAATACACCTAGAGGAATCTGAGTGTAAAGGGATGGGAAGCAACGTTTTCCCTGTTGTTGCTTGCACCCATTTCCTTTACAAGGAGTGGGTCTGGGTTGAATGTGGTTCTCAAGAAATGGAAGAAATTGTTTCATTTACTAAATCTGGGGAAGGAGGTAAACAGGTTCAGGTTTCCTTCACTCATTAGCCAGTGTCCACCAGTCCTGACCTGAAGAGCCCTTTGCTATTCCATTTCTTGCCCTTCCCCCAGAATGTTGCTATTTGGATAATCTAGGTTTGAATATTCTCTAATTTAGTAATCTTTTACACCTGTGACTTCACTGACTTTAAAGCAGTTGCTCTTAGCTTACATTGGTGTGTGAGAGAATTAGAGCAAGCATCTCTCTCTGTTTGGTTCTAGACACCAAGCAGAACTCTGAGAGGCAAACTGGTTTATTGTCTGCCCCATTCCTTGCTCCAGGCATCATACAGTCTTCTCACCCTGCCCTTTCCTGTATCATGATATGTACAAAGTACTGCTTTTCTAACCCTGTGTTCCCTTCAAATTACCCTTGTCCCAGATAGCTACAGTCTAAATATTTTAGTGTTCCTAATAAATGAGTGACGATGGTGAATCATAGAGGCAAAATGTTCCTTCTGCATGTATGCCCAACTCCCTGTTCCATGTATCCAATAACTACAACACACCCCGCAGCAGCTGGCTCTTAACCTACATGCTTTTGTATATCCTCATGCAAACAGCAGAGGATAAATGTATAGATCAAACATTTTAATAACAGTTTTTTAATGTAAATTGCTGATGTCTATTTACTGGACAAAATAAATTCCAACTGCCCCATCTAACAACTGAAACTGAAATACAAAAATATAATGATATTTATTCTCATAGCTGCCAGCAAACTCACATGCACCATGAGTCATTCCAGATGTGGATAAAAACAAAGTCTGTCTGTAAAAGTGAATTCCCTTATCCCAAAGAGAGTTGGTTTAGGAGAGGTGCTTGCTCCACTGACTTCAATTGCCCTCAGGAGAGCCGGTAGGTTCTTCTTCTGTGGGGGAAGGGAAGAGAAGAAAGCACTTGCCTATTCCTGAAGAAAGGGAGGAAGGAAACAAATAACATATAGAAAGAGATATATAAAGTAAAGGATGCATTGGAAGACTTTAATATTGCTGCTATTCTATTACGATGCTCATGCCACTGTGACTCCCAGGTGGAACAGAGGTAAGATTTCAACATCAAAACCTGTTTATGGGAAAGCTCTGAGACCGTAGAATGGCTCTGACACTAAATTTCACTATTTTTCTCAGGTGCTGGTCCCAGCTCTTAAATTTTTCCCATTTATAGCAGGTTGTTATTTTTTTTTGTTATCTTTTTTTCCCCTTTCTCTATTTAATTCTTTTCTTTTATTTAAAAGAAAATTAGAGACCACTTTTGGGGCATGAAATCCCAAAGTAAAAACTTTCCCTGCTATAGGAGGCATGATTCTCTCTGCTCTCTGAGCAGATGCTTGGGGTTTAAAAATAAGTAGCTATACTCGGCAAAAAAGTATGATGACTATAGCACAGAGGGTACCTCAGTATAATAGGAATACATTTGGGCTGTCAATATGATTATATATGTGTGTGTGTGTGTGTGTGTGTGTGTCTATAGTCAGTGACTTGTATTCAGAAGTCACAAGTATGTGAGTCCACTTCTGGGACTCCCAGATGGCTTACAGGCACACTAGTGCCCACTTAATGGGCACTGTTAAAACAAAATCTTTACTAAAGATGTCCTTTTTCATTTTCTTTATTCTCTCCTGCAGTACTTGGCTGTGGTTCTGTGGTTGCTAGGTTAGTGCTGCCTGGAATGGGAAAAGGAAACACCTCCCATATGAATTTTTGGGACTGACCCTAAATCCACAGATTTTCAAGGGAATTTGGCACAAGTGGAAGACACACTAAATTTATCACTCAAAAAAACCCTGCTTCTGTTGACTCAGTTCCTTCTAACTGAGCCTGTGTTCTATAACAAAGTTGGGTTTTGAAGACGTGTCAGTGATTAATGAGCTGGTAAAGAGGTTTTAAGTCTTCTTCAATTAAATGTTCCCTAGGTGGTAGAGTGGCTGAATGAAAAAGTGCACTAGGCCAGGATTCAGGACACCTGTTAGGAAGGGATAGCTATTGTAGAGGACGGAAGCTTTAGCACATATTTGGGGGAGTGAATTGATGGGGTTTGTTACCTGGTCTGCCCTGTATAACAGGATAAAGGGTTTATTTCTGGCAGACATGATGGTATTGGAGGATTTATTGATGGCAAGTAGTTGCCATGGAGCTGCTTTCTGACCATCCACTGCCCCTGCTCTAAGCATGTCCCAGATACATGGCAGCTGAAGAGTCTCTCCTATTCATCTCTGACCCAGTAACTTTGGCTTCTCCTGAAATGTCCATGTGCCATCCCTTATTTAGCAAAAGCTTGAAAGAGAAGAGCTAGGCATCACATCTTGCCCCAGAGATCAGTAGATTTGGGCTCTGTCGGATTCGGTGGGAAGCAAGCCAGGGGTCATCCACTGAGTACAGCCTGCCACAGGTCCTGCATGGTCCAGAAACTGCTTTTGAACATGTCTTAATATTAGTCTTATCTGCCCTGACTATGAATAGGTTGAGAGAGGCTTTCCTCAAATGGCCAAGATCCAAAATCTTTAGGTCATACTGAACCAAAGCCAACAACTGAATAGCACCTTGAAGTACACAGGAAATCAGTGCAGTTACTAGCGAAAGGATGGAACATCATTTTGGGGGCTAATATCTCTTCACAGGGATGCAGACTCAGTCCAGTGCCAGCTTTAGGCTCCTAGTGTTCTTCAGGGAGGACTCCATTTTGGAGGAGTCATAACTGCATGAATGGTAGTGGCCAGAAGTGGCTGTAAGAGAAATCATTTCAAGCAGATATAAAGAAACCACCTATTCTCACCAGCCTCACTTATGAATCTAGGAGATATTTATTAATTTCTTGGAAATGGAGGGGGAAATTTGACTCAATACTGAAGTTAAGTCACACCCTTACTATACACTCAGAAGGCTTCACTCAACTCAGAAGTTACAGTTCTGTTTTTTCTGGGTTAAACCTCAGACAGAGGAGTCTCATCCAAGACTTGATCCCAGCTTGGCACTGGAAATGAACAGACAACAAAGCATCTGGGTCTGATGAAAATGAGACATAAAGCTGCGTGTCATCTGCATATCGACCAGCAGCCCAAATCATTTAAAGTAAAGACTTTAGGACAAAGTCCGTTGATTTTAGTTGTTAAAAGTTGATTTTTATAATAGATACGAATGCTGGATAAAATATACCCTGGATTGCAATCCCAGTTGAGGACTTGTCCCATGTCTGTTTTGAGGTAAAAATGGTCCAACACTGGAGACATCCAGTGAAACCCATGACATGGGGACTCCTATAAGTTGAGCCTATAGACAGAATTCCATTGTAACAGATCGCTGGGCTTTTACTCTATGTGTTTCAATCAAAAGCAAATAACTAGAAATGAACATATGACTTAGAGAAAGTCAGATATAAGGCCCCCTGTCCCTTGTATGTGGGATAGGGGCAATAAAGAAGGCAAGCTCAGGAAGATCTTTGGATAGGTCTCTACTGTAGTGATAAATGGGTGCCTAGCTCTCTGTAGCTTTCTAGCTGGCAGGAGGTGGAAGGCTTTGCGTGGTTAGTACTTAGTATTAGAAGTTTGAAAATAAACCATTAGGAAAGTTGTCTGATAAATGGCTGTTGGGAGCTTTATTCTACCTTCTCTTCCTGGTGAGGTAAAGCACTGACAGTCTTCTAGCACAGTAAGGGGGTTGAGTAGGCTGGCTTTAGTTCCATATCTTTCTAATGGTTTTGCAACATTCCTACATTTGTTTTAATAAGCAACAGGTTATGGGATGGCCTTTTGGTGCAAATGTAATTTTGGTATAGTAATGAATGATGCTCCTTGTGACAAGATGCACATAAGATTATGACTACTTCTGATAAGCTCAAGCCAGAACTCGAGCTCTGAGTAGATGTGCAATGCAGCCTACTTCTAGAAGCTGTGGACACCAGGGGTTAAATTCTGTTCTTTTGCTATAAAACCACAGACTTCCGTAGAGCTGCTGTAAATGCACGCTGCTATAACAAAAGCACAGTTTAGCCCAGGCTCTGTATTCTTGGGAGTGTTGGTCTCTTAGTAGAAACCCCAAGCCTTGCTAGCATATTTAATCTCAGATGGTTATATTTTATTCGCTTTAAGGGTTTCCTGAGCAGGGTCAGATACTGCACAGGTTGAGACACATTTGCAGTGTGGTTGCTGGGGTAATGAAGGTGTAAAATAATTCCTTGTGGTTTAGCTTCCTCGAACACTGGGGAAGCAATTGCATCTGTAATTTCACTTACCAGTGAAGGCTGGAGAAGGAGGAATGGAAAGTATGTAAGATTTGGGGAAAGTAAAAGTCCTCTCAACTGGTTGATAGACATTGGTTTGAACCCTTCCTCCTATGCTCTGCAAAAAGGCAATCTATCATTCCATAAAATTGGGGAGGTATTTATTCCCTCAAGGCATTTCCTACATTTGTCCTTAAGGTGAAGGAAATTGTTTGACAAATTTCCTTGGGACAGTCCTAGTTCTCAATATCCCATCAAATGTTCTGGCAATATAGCTAATGAACCTAAGTCAATAGCTGTTGTTTGAATCACCAGCCTTTTCAGACTTACAGTGCTCCCAGCTGCAGAAAGCCAGTAACTTTCTGGTGCTGAGAGAGCGAGAAATTTTCTGATCTCTGGAAGCTACTATGGGGGTAGCATTTAATGCTACTTAGGATGCATGAGCTCAGTGCCAAGTCCATGTGGTCCTACAACACACACAGCTTATACATTTAATCAGGGCAAGGGTACAATGTGAATTCCCAAATTATATTGTGACTCACCTCTCTCCCCAGCCCTTCCTCATAGTTAAAGGCTACCACCTCCCTTCTGTAGCATTCTTCAGGCTTTTACTGCTGACAGCAATACTCACTCACAACTTCTGGCTTGGATGGTGTATTTGAAGGGAAGCTGGCTTGAATACAACATGGAATTACCACACAAATGAACACACACACCCAGCAGCCCCATGTGTACTGGCTGTACATGATTTTGGCTTATTGAGGACATGCTGATGCTTCCAAAGGTCTGCCCCAAGAGTAAAAACAGATTACACCAGCTGGACCTGGAACACGAGCTTTTTAAAATGTATGGTCCTATTCACTTGCATTAATTTCCATAGAGTCATTGTTATCTGATTAATAAAAAAATGCATTACATATAAAACTATGAAGGAGATGAAAGCTGATGAAACACAACCAAACATCTTTGCTTGGAAGTGTAAAGTATATGTAGAAAAGACAAGTTTTTCCCTGTCTCAGGATTATATAATGGCCTGGAAAACTGCCAGGGTCATCTGTATGTCCTTGCCTTTGGGACCCACTCCAGCAAAATGCCATGGAAACCAGTAGTTACACTATCAGGTGGCTTGGCCCTGGATGATCCTACCTGTTATTACCTATCTTCCATTTCACACACACGTTAATTCTCAGAGCTATATGTTCATTAGAAATAGCTGGAGTCTCCTCATTTCAGGTTAAAGTCCCACTAGTGACAATTGTAACTTTCTTTTGAGGCGGTCATATGGTCTAGAATATTAGGCTGAGACTCAGAGGGTTCTGTGCCCCACTGAGTGGCTTTGGGCAAGCTACCTGACTTACCTTTGCCACTGTTTCCACATCTGTAAAATGGGATCATGGTTCTGACATCCTTGCAGAGTGCTATGTCAGGGCTAGGTATTGTCACTTGCACTGAATTAAATAATACATTTGCAGATTTAAAAGAACAGCAAAGTGAGAAAGGGAAGACAGAAAGAAAAAAAGGAAACAATGTATTTTTCAAGTGAGATCTGAAAATGACATGAGAGCTGATGGGGCAAAGGCACAGAAG